GGAAAATGCCTGATTTTGTATTTTCTGCAACAATCACAAAATCATAATTTTGGTACATCCCTAACAGTGTGATTAAGTTGTATTGTCACTGCAGATGCTTAAAAGGCTTCAGGATTCCACTGTTAACCACACAGCATCTTAGAGGAGCACTAAAGATTAAATTTATTTCACTTGGGTCAACATTCTCCCAGTAACAAGATTTTGCATGGGATAGGCTGCATACACAGAAATAATCTGGGAGAACTCTCCCAGGTTTGTTCTCCTGGTAGAAAAAGTTACCCAGAGCCAGGTATACAGGCATACAGACTGGCGCTTGCAGTACTCACACTGTGCAGAAAGGTGCAGGGGGAGGTGCTGTGCCCATATTACAACATGCTTTGCAGGCTCTCTTGGTCTATATGGTGACAGATGGTAGCAGAGCAGCCTGATTGGCTGACCCAGAGTGCCCAAGGTCAGCACAATGTAGGGATTGTTAAAAGGGACATGTTCTGCCATGTACACATTTGCTCTCCCAGGATAAACTCCCCAGGGAGTGATCTAACGTTGTCTGTTCCCAGGTTACTTTTCTCCATGTGTGGCCACTTTTACACTGGAAACAAAAATCCAGGTTTTTTCATACTTCTGGTTTCTCCAGGCAATTACACTCTCAGGAGAAATGAAATGTCTGTACAAGACCATCTTTAAGAATATTTTACTTAAAATATAAAAAGAAAAATACACCTTAACCTTCTGTAGAGAGCTTTATAAAAGTTAAATTAAAATCTCTTGTCTTCTAGACCTTTACTTAAGAATAGAGCTAAGACTGAAAAGCAACATTTCTGTTCAACAAAATTAATTTCAGACTCTGGCTCAAGCTGATCTTTGAAGTTGAAGATAAAACTCTTCAGTGAATAATGTTTTAGGGATTGATTTATATTATCAATATTTTACCTTCTATCTCTTTCTAAAGCACGTCACTTGGATCTATTTAACACTTGTTGCCAGACTATTTGTCAAATGTTATAACTATTATTTTAAATACATATTCCATTCCAAGAAGTGCAATCAATAGAACCATGTAAAAACAAAGTCTGATTTCAAGTATTTCATCATTTTTTTTCAGATATCAAACAACATGGTATGTTAACCTTTTCAAAACTGCCAATAGAAATATTTTGAATATTTAGCCAGTATTCTGTCAGCTAAGAATGTCTAATGTATAATGACATTTTGTAAACACAATTCTTCATAATAGCAATGTTGTATAAAATTTAATTTTTATTCATGGCACTTGTGCACAATTTGCTAGCTTAAATGCTTGTGTATACTAAACCAGTGGTTCCCAACTATTTTTGTGCCGCAGACCAGCACGAGAGTGGCAGAGCTGGCTGCCTTCCTCCAGGGCTGCCCCTCCCCTCAGCTTTAACCCCGCATGTCACCGATAGAAGATGCTTGTGCTGGCAGACAGATGTGGGGGGAGGCAAGCAGGGGACTCATGCCACAACCTGGCAGCCAACCTGTGGGCTGCGGCCTAATGGTTTGGAATCTCTGTACTGTACTACTTGCATTTGAGTGTGCCTACAGCAGTGCAAGCTCAAAATGATGTTGCCTAAGGTATCCAGCCTAACTAAAAATTACCTGAATGGAGTGTTGGGGGAGAGATTGGGAGGGGGAAGATGGTAATAGTGGTTGATAGAACAACTAGTATCTTATTATAGACTTAGTAAGCAGCACTACCCAATCACATTACTGTGGCTTCTATTTACTTGAGCTGGAAGAGTTGCTATTATTCAGACTAGAAAACAGAAGGCTGAACAAGGTATTGATGAGAGTCTTCAAATACAAAAAGAAAATGCTGATCAAGCCTCTGTCCACAGGGGAGGGAATTTAGGTTCTTGCCATTTGCTTCCATGAAAAGCATAAATTGATGACGGAATCAGATACTTGATGCAATCCTGTTTATTTACAAGGAATGGACTGAAAGTTAAATATCCAGATCCTAGTTACAATCAAATTCTTCCTCATAGTTCCAAGCCTCCTTCAAGTCAGCACTCTACTCAAAAAAGTACTTTTACAGTTCCAAGCCATGTTAAAAAGCACATATTCTCTGCAGCAATATTACAAGCATTGCTCTTTGTCTTTTCAGCTTAGTGCCTTTGTTTGATTCTTCTGACTCACAGGCAGACATTTCAGCAATCCCTAGGCCTCTGTTTCTGTCTATTCCTTAGATAGTAATATTTGTTATCAGCAACCAGAGTAGTGTTTTACATTGTTCCTTCTATCACTAAAAATGATGGCATTCAATTTTCCCTTATTTAGACTAATGGGAAGCATATAAGACATTCTGAAAGATAAGCCTGCAAAAGGCTACCCAAGCTCCATCATAGGAATGTTAATTAGGGCAGTACAGGGTTTCTGTGTCATTGCCATAAGAGGCAAAATGAAATTGAGATACAGTGGGGATTTATCTGCCATTTATGACCTTTGGTGTTAAAGGCACAAGAGCATCTATAGTGAAAACACAACAATTCCACCACTGTTAGCCAAAAGCACTCACTCGTGTGCAAGGACCATATGTACATGAGAGACACAAATGGCCCACTCACCAACTCAAAAGCAATAGGTCTTCAAACATCAAACTGCATTTCATGACACAGGAATATCACATGTACTGATCAGTTCAAATAAATCTTAGTCTAGAATATTTAAAATTAAGTCATAATATGGAAAGATTTTCAAGAAGATAGAGCATTAGGAATATAATCTGTGGTTTCTTAGTCACCACAGAAGACAATAAGAGTGAGATTTTTCAGTATCATAGTGTGAAAGAAATGACCTCTATAGAAGTTATTCTAATATTATGAAAAAAGAAAAGCATACTTTAAAGCAGAGGTTTAATCATTTGAAAACCTAGAACAAAAAATCTGGAGGGATAATTTTGTTATCAGGTTTCCATGCTGGGTTACAATTTACTGTCTGTATGTTTATATGCAAAAATAAATCAAGCTGGTTTGTACCCTCCCATTGAATTGAGCTACCCCATCCACACACCTGTACCTCATTGTGAGAGGGGTTACACCATTATGTTTTACGGAATAATGACTTCCAACAGAGAATTGGTATACAGAGTTTTTCATCCAATGAAAAGTGAAGCTAAGCTGTAAGAGTTCAGTCCCTGAAGGGCAATTAGGAGGTCAGCTGGGTAGGGGTGCAGGTTACTGAGGCATCAGGGTGGATCTGAATCAGTGGAGCAGGTGCCTGTAGACATGCGGGACACCTGCTCCAACATGTTCTAATTACAGAGCATTGGGGCAGAAGCAATTAATCAAGTCTGTTGGAGCATGCTAATTAGCTTACTCATCAAATGAGCTTTATTTAAATTGCCCCTGCCACCATTTTGAAGTGATACTGAATACATGAGATGCTGCAGGCACTTTTATTAGAGAAGCTCCTGAGAGATGCTCTAAGTAAAGTGCCTTCTTTCACCTTTGAAGCATGTGTAAAGACACCCCAAGAGACATAGTCTGGGGTGCAAGCCGTGGTCAGAAGCCAGGAGAATCAAGAGAGTTGGTGCCGAGCTCCAGAGAAGATCTAAGAATAGGGTAAGAGAGAAAGCTGAAGCCAAGTGAGGAGCCAGACGAAAGAGAGAGCCAGTACCAAGTTCCAGGGAAGATCCAAGAGCAGGGAGAATCAAAGCTGAATGCCGAGCCAGAAATAGTAGTGAATGCGATGCTTGGCAGAGTAGACTGAGGCTGTTGTCAAGGAATGCTGCAGCCTGAGGCTGCAAGTGTGCTTAAAAGGGCTGAGTCCTGAGGGCTCAGCAGCCAATCCAGTACCAAAGTAATGGGGCAGTCACATTACCCAGGGATCAAGATCAGGTGTGGAAGCTCAAGAGTTGGACTAGCCAAGCCTGACTAACCAGAGGCCTTGATACAAGCAATACATTAGAGCCACAGTACTGCAAATACTTGGCCACTCATAGCTTGATGCATGAACAAGTCCCATGGATTTTAAAGGGAATACTCATATGATTGCAGGATGTGCATCTATGCCAAACTTTGCTGAAGTCTGAGAGCTTCTCTGAAATGAGTCAGGCTTCCCTGTTAAGAGCAGTATCTGGCCAACTGTTTCTACTGTTCACTGCCTAAATGGTTGTTGAAGGAGCCAATCACTGGATCCCATGCAGTCTTGAGCCCCTCCAGACATTCCTCTATGGAGGGGTTCCTAGGCACATCAATGAGGACCCTTTGTCTGCATTCCCTATTAAGAGCTGTACCTTTCTGTCAAATTGCACATCTACAGAATCCAATCCTGATTTCAGACATCTGCCATAACTTAAAAATACTTTCCCAGATTCTCATTAATGGTGTGTGTTCTGGTATGTATATTAATTCTTCAGAAATAACATAGCAGATGTAACATATTTGGATACAAAAAGCTTTTGCATAAAATTTACGTTCAATTAAAACACAAGACCCAAGGGTAAACAGATTGAGAAAGAAAGAAATCTTCCTAAACATAAGGCCCCTACCTAGCTCATCCTTCTCTTGGAAATCTGTATGTATCCACCTGTATTCATCAAGGCAGCCTGGCAGTAAACCAATGGTTTGTCTTACCTGAACTTGGTCAACCTCCCAGCTAAACCAGGCCCCTCCTGCTACAAAAAGCCAGTCCTCCTCTCCAAGACTTCTTTAAACTCTATTTAGTCATCTATATCCCTTCTTTATTGTTGCTAAGTTTTCACTCTCATCTACCCATTTCACTGTCAATTCTGAAACACGGGAGGAGTAAGGTACCTTCTCCCAGGCTAAGCAAATGCATTGAATAGCCAGTTGTTGAGTTCCACCATCTCACCATTGCCTCTGGGCTGAAATAAATCTTTCTGCTGGCCTATGGTGGGTGCAGATAAACAGAGGTATGTTGTAATACAGCTGTTTTCATAGTAACATTTTGTATCAATCCAAATTCAACTGTTATGCAGATGTATTTCCCCAAATGATTGTGACAATTAAAGTTCATACCTTATTTTTCTTCAGAAGTTCATTTTGTGCCATCTCAGAATCAGAAGCCAAGTTGCTTGGTGCAAGTTCATTTTTCCTGTCCACCAGTTCCTGAATTTCTTTCACCTGGGCCTTCAACATTCGATTCTCTCTCTTCAGACCTTGCTTTTCTGCATCAATAATCTCTCTTTTTCCCCACTCAGAGGCATTCTCAGACTGTAGTCTTTCCAGCTGAAAAGAAAAACAGAATAACATTTGTAAAAGATGTCCTTCTAGTGTGAGGTGAAGGGCTATCCCTACAGAGGACATCATTAAAAAAATATTTTAAAAATAGGGTTAAAGTGTTGTTGTAGCTATGATGATCCAGGAAATACGTAAGAAGGGATGGATCCCTTCTTGCAATGGTACAGTTTCATACAGCTTTAATTCTTTTTCCACTCCTACTGTTCATCAAAGTTGAAGGCCTGATCATATTGGACCCAAGGCTGCCCAGCCCTTCTTCTCAAGCGGGATGGGCAGCCAGTGGTGTTTTCCTCATCTTGCCTTCCCTGGAGGCCAAGACTCTGAGAGCTGCTCTAATTAAAGTGCCTGGAGCGTCTTGTATATCAGCATCCCCGCACTTCAAAATGGTGGTGGGGGTGCTTTATTTAAAGCTGGTTGAATGAGCTTAATTTAAAGCTCCCCAGCCACCATATTGAAGTGCAGGGACACTGATACACGAGACAAGGAGGCTGGCTAGTGTGTGGCAATTACCATGCTTCAGCAGACGAGTCTGCTCTGATGCACTGTAATTGCAGCACATTGGAGCAGCCTCTCAGCTCATGTATAGGCTCTCGAAGCACCCTTCAAAATGAACAAGAATATAAGAAATGCCATACTGGGTCAGATAACTGGTCCATCTAACCCAGGTTCCCATATCTCACAGTTATGCTAAGGCGAAGAGTATTTATGAAGAGCCTAATGTAGATGAACCTGTCCCTCCCTTTTCCTTTACAACTTCCAGCATTTAGATGCCTACAGAGTCCTAATTTGTAGGTTACAGCCCTGTTATGATGTTTAATAACCACTGATGGACCTATTCCTCTTTCAAACCTGGTTAAATCATTAGACTTTTTAAAGATTTTGTGGCAGCTAGTGCCACAAGTTAATTACATACTACGCAAGACAGAACTTTGTTTTAAACCTTCTTCACACTAGTCATTATTTTATAGAATTCTATCATATCTCCCCCCCAACACACACACACACACACACACACACACACCTTGGTTTATTCATATTCTAAAGAAGAAGCTTCTTATACTGTATGCAAACATATGCCACCTATTTTGATCAAAAGACAATTAATGTTGGGATGAATACAAAACAGAATACACAAAACTGAATACTAAAATCTAAACATTGTGTATGAAGCAAACAATGTTTTAACGTACAGCTCTATTAGAGAAACTCTGCGTTTTAATTTTAGTACCAAAGCGAAATAGCTCAGTATCCAGAGCAAGTGAGTCAAAGATCTTACACAACTTGTTTCTTTGCTTAGCAGTCTTTGGATGAAAACTTGTATTTCAAGGTAGGACACAGTACTCCCTTAATTCAAGATGGTCATGACTTTTTTTTTCCTTAAATGTTAAACAGTGCAATATTGAGGAATGAAGTTAAGTATCAACAAAATGCCATCTTATTAAGTGAGAGAGAATAAACACCTGAAGAGGAATTTTATTTTACTCTTTAAGGACAACTGGATGGAGGTTATGTCAAGGGTGTATCAATTGTTCTCCAGATTTCAAAGGAAAAGCTGTGGTCAAAGGAATTGATTTTTTCTTCCAGAAATCAGATAACAGGCACTTATCAAAGCTTTAAATAGGTTGGAAATGGTAAAAAATGAGAGATCCGAGCAACATAAGCCAGGAAAAGGACAAGAGGAGGAATCCATCAATAAAATAGCAAAAAAGTTTTAAATAAAATAATGTGAACTTTGCAACTTGCAGTTTTGTAAAGACCAAAGCCAATTATTTGATAAAATTATATGGTCTGCCAAAAGCTAAAAGCTATAAGATATCCAGCTTCTACAGCAGAAAAAGACAGTACAAGCCAGCAAGACTTGAGAAAGAAGGGTGATATGGTCTTATTTTAGATTTGCTCTTTGGAGGCACTGCCTAGTTCTATTTTAAATTATCTTTGTAGCAAACATTAAAAAACAATCATGTTCAAGGTACAGTAGTTGTTGGCATTCATAGCATCAAAGAAGCAATAATAGTTTTAGGCATATTACTTAGGTAAATTAAATTGCAAACCTGTTCACTTCCCTCTTCATGTCCCCCCAAAAACTCTACTATTAGTAATTACACAAGCAAGTCAAGATAGGAGGGAAGATTGCTCAGTCTATAAATATGAGATACACTATTTTTTCCACATTTAACTCACTGTGGCCCACATCTGGGGACTGTCCTATTTATCTAAATGGAAGTACTGAACAACTAAGGGGGTGTGTGTGTGTGTGTGTGTGTGTGTGCGTGCATGTACGCGTGCAAGTGGTTGGAGACTCATAGCTTAATTCAGACAACACAAGTTTTCAGTGTTTAGAAATCTTCACCTTCCACGCTGAAAAAGTTTGGACTTGAATCTACCGTATCAGCTGATCTTAACAAACAAAATGGAGCCAATCCATATTTTCCATTTTAAATCCATGTAATCAAACGTCAAAACCTTTGTGGAGCCTCAAAGTTAATGGTCTCCAAAGTCATAAGAGCTATCCTATACAGGCACTGATCTTGCTGTGGAGCCCATCTTTTGCAGTCCCAAAGGATACAAGGGTATGTCTCCTGTATATGAAAAGTCCCTTCTCGGGCAAAAATTAGGTGCCTTGGATGGGCTTGTTCTGTTTTGCCTATTCTAAGCCTGTTTAGACAGCATAATGCAAAAGGAAATAAAGCTGCAAGGAGAAAAAGTTGTTAATATAACACAAAATTAAAATGCCAAGAACATATTGTGTGGGCTACATAAGTTGAAGAAATTTCTAGAACTAAATAGAGTGCTAAGAATGGTCACATGTTCACCTGCCACTAATCATACACTCATGTGTTCCCCTATATGAATTTAGGGGGAATTAATATGTGGCAGGATGGCTGGTCAGCTCACCAGCAGCCCTGAACTGTTGTTAGCTTGAGCCAGAAGGGCTCGGACTCCATTGCTGGAGACAGTTTTCCTTCCCCATCAATCAGAGCAAGGCAGAAAGAAGGCAGCCCCGCCCTGACCCAGGGACTAGGTGAAAGAGAGGACTTGAAAGGGAACTAACTCCTGAGGCTTTACTATTGGTCTGCTCCCAATCTGAGGCTGGAGCCTCAAAAAGGGATAAAAAGTCAGCGTGCCCAGCACATGAAGTAGCTTTGTCAAGGGACGATGAAAAAGGTCTGAGAAGAGCTGGTGGAGCTGACCAGCAGGGGTGGAGCAGTTGCTCCAGGAGAGCCCTGAAGATGTCTTTGCCAGATGGGAAGCAGCAAGTGGCTGCATCCCAGCCCCGCCGTGGAGAGAACCGTGATGACAGTGCATGGAGGGTCCGGGAGTGGATGGGCCCGGGCAGCTGCATGAGGCAGCCTGCATCCCCAAACCTGCATGAGGCAGGAGCAGAAGCCCTTGGTGCACGGACTGGTGCACAGGGCTGGAGAGCCAGTGCACAAAATGGTGCACGGAGACTTCAGGTGTGGATGCAACCACAGCAGCTGCATGAGGCAGTGCAGGTCCCCAACCCTGCACAAGGTAGGAGCTGGGCCATCAGTGCACAGAGAAGTGCACAGGGAGCTAGAGATGAGAAGTCGGGGCTGCAGTGCAGTTTTTTCCCCCTGCCCAAGGCAGGTACCCCTTTGGTGCATGGGGCGGTGCATGGGGCAGAGAGCAGTTCAACCAGCCAGAAGAACTGCATGAAGCAGCTGGGGCCTTCTTGCTGGAAGTGGCATGGGTCAACCATCCCATTTGGGTGGGGAGGGTTCACCCCAATACACCACTGGAGACAAGCCCAATCCTTCAAAAGCCGTGAACTCGTGAGTTACCCGGAAAGGGGAAGCCCCTGAGTGGGGACAATTCACCCATGGGCACAGAAGAGAGTCTAGGGCCCCTGTTTTTTTAAGAGTGGTGTCATAGTTATGGACCCCTCCTAGTTGAGCAACCGGGGAGAGGATAATGATGCTTAATTAGGTAATGGGATCTTTTCCTGCTTTGCCATTTCTTCTTTGGGCAGTCTTGCTGTGCTAATAGTTGTGATCTAGTTATTTAGGTCATTGAGATTCTGTTTACAGTATTGTGTCCCTATTGTTGTTATACAGAGATTCATAGATGCTAGGATCGGAAGGGACCTCAACAGATTTTTGAGTCTGACCCCCTGGTGCTGGGGTCAGATGACCCCAGCCAGATACCTATTCAGCCTTCTCTTAAAGACCCCCAAGGTAGGGAACAGCACCAAGGCCCCTGGAAGCCCATTCCAAATTCTGGCCACCCTTATTGTGATGTTCTTCCTGATGTCCAACCTAAATCTGCTCTCTGTCAGTTTGTGACCATTGTTCCTTCTTACCCCAAGAGGTACCCTGGTGACCAGAGCACCTCTGGTTCCCTGCTGTGCCCCCTAATGAATTTGTAGGAAGCCACAAGATCCCCTCTCAGCCTTCTCTTGTGGAGGCTGAAGAGACCCAGCTCCTTTAGTCTCTCCTCATAGAGCTTGTCCTGCAAACCTTTAACCATACGAGTGACCCTCCTCTGGACCCTCTCAAGGTTATCCACATCCTTCTTAAAGTTCAGCACCAAAACTTGATGCAGTACTCCAACTGCGGTCTGAACAATGCTGCATAGAAAGAAAGTATCACCTCCTTGGCTCTATCTGTCATGCATCTGCTAATACATGATAAAGCTTGGTTAGCTTTGCTGATGATTTTGCTGATGACTCATGTTCACCTTGGAGTCCACTATGACTCCAAGATCCCTTTCTGCTTCTGTGCTGCTGAGAGGGTCATTTCCCAGCCAATAGATGTGCTGGATATTTTTATACCCTAGGTGCAGCACTCTTTATTTGTCCTTATTGAACTGCATCCTATTGTGTTCCAAGCTGTCCAAGTTCACCTGCAATCATTCCCTACCCGCCGGTGTGTTCACTCTGCCCCACAATTTAGTATCATCTGCAAACTTGGACAGAGTACACTTCACACCCACGTCCAGGTCACTGATGAAAACATTGAAGAGCACAG